TTTTTTTTATATTTTATAATTTGCCTGAATTTTTAAAAACTTATATTATGTCAGGTAGTAGTTGTCACATTTAAGAAGACCTCTTTAAAAATACCTTCAAACCAATTAAAGACAGAAACAAACTCTGGATTCCCTTGCTGAATTCCTCAATAAGATGGCTGTAGCAATTTTCCAGGGGTCCATTTATCAGTTCCAGAACCTATAAAAGTTAAAGCAGTATTAAGTTTTGTGCTGTTACTAAAGCTAAACAATATTCCACATAAAGGCCTTGTACTTTGTACAGGTCCCAGGAAGCCCCAGACTCCTCCAAAACCAAGACAAAACCATATAACAAGAAACAGAAAGAGCAAGAATTAACAGATGGTCTACAAAATAATAGAAAAATATTTTTCATTGTCTGAAATATAAAAATATTTGAACTACTCTTTCTAAGTCTTAACCATATGGAGGACATATCATTTAAGGAACATTGGTAATTAGTTTTTAAGAGATGATTTCATGTAAGGGCTAGGCCGATGATCAAGAAAGAAAAAGACAGGGCAACAACATTAGTCTGGTCAGATGGAAGGTTACCTGCTGCTTGTCTTTTTCTTGAAGTACAAGAATGCTCTCTCCAACAGTGTCAATTCCAGCACGCCCAGCCCTGCCAATCATCTGCTTATACTGATTCCTCCTTAAGAACTCTCTAGCCACATAGGGGGCTCTTAGGATGACTCTGTGGACAGTAGAAAATGAAAAGTGGTCCTCTATGTCAATAACACCACTTTTTAAACACAATTCCATTTTATCTGTTATTAAATGTAATGGCATGTTAGCTTTATATAAAACTGCACTTACAGTAGAACTTTGATGTTTTAGGTTCTTAAGTATAATTTCTGTAATTCTTACGAAATACTTAACAATGTCCTTATTTTCTTTTCTTATGAAGGAATTGGCTCAAGTTCAGTAAGTGGCTTAACGTAAGCCACAGGTTAGTAAATGCCACAGCCATCACATGTACTCAAGTCTCTGTCGTTTCGAGGCCTATGATCAATCTATAGTAGTGTTCGCCAAAGCTTTTTGATTTTATACTGGGACTGAAAGATCTGGCATGTGCCACTGCCACAGGCCACCAATTTATGAACTGATGTTATCTTTAACTGAAAGATCTGGGATGTGCCACTGCCACACGCTACCAATTTATGAATTGATGTTATCTTTAACTGTGAGGCATTCGTTTCAAGTTTCAACTGGATTTAGTCTATGAAACAGCAATTCCAACTCTGTTCAGGTATAAACAAGTCTGTAGCCAGCTTCCTTCTTCAAAGAGACTGAAGAATCAATCTGTCATTGCCTATATATTATCAACCTCTTCATTTACATATCTCAACAGACTGTTTAGATTGATGAACGCTTAAAGAAAACAAACAAA